CTAATAAAATATTAAAATTTAAAAAAATTACTATTTTCATCAACGTCAAATTTCAATATTGTCCTTGTTAAATTCATTCATTTAAACATTATAGATTCATACAAATTATATATATTCATCCCATTATAAATATATTCCTAAATACAATTTTAAAAGTTTTAAAAATCATTATATTCATCCAATCATTATCAACATTAATCTGGTTCCTACTTTTCATTTTCTATGCTATCATGTCAATGCTCTAACTCCGTTTGGTAGCAATTTTTTAAAAAAATGATTTATTGATCATTATTTCACTATTTCAGTCGTCATTTTTTACTTTTTAACTCATAGGTGTGACTCACTTCTCTATCTAACTGTTAAAAAATCAATTCTCATAATCACTACCGAATATGACTTTTAAAATTTAGCAAATCTCTTTTATTAAATTTATAGGATTCTATCAAGAGTAAACTGTTCAAGCAACCAAAAAAATCCCTTCTCAAATTATATGTTAATCTTTTTTCCTCTTTTTTAACTTATAAGCCCATAATTTTGGTTGCTTTTGTTTCGATTGATAATTTTAAGCCCCCATTTGGTTCTAATTTTTCACCGGAAAAAATTATTTTTTTAATATTACTTTCCTAAGTCAGCCGTCACTTTTAACATATTCACTCACATGTGGGACTCACTTCTCTCTAACGATCAAAAAATTAATTCTTAAAATCACTACCGAACAGGCCCTAAAAAATAATATCCAATTTTTCATATCATGAAAGAATTATAACTTTAATAATGTGTTATTTAAAAAAAAATAGTATTTTATTATCATTAAAATTTTAGTAAAACACGAACTCTAAAATAATATACAAAGGTTTAAAAGAATTTATGAAAATAAATATTAATGGTTGAAGTTAGAACAATAAATTTTTATTTAATTTTATATATGTTTATTTAGGTAAATTTGTATAAAATAAAAAACATAATATAATCATATTTTTTCAAAGTGAATGTGTATATAAAAACTATGGATATAAATAGCGATACCCTAAAAATATTATCATAAATCTCATTTTCATTTTTTCTTTTTCATTTAGCCTCCGTTTGGCCCGCATTAATTTTCATTACATTATATTTTATTTTTCTCTTCTTTATTTTCAATTACACAATCTTTCATAAAATAATATTACACATAAATCGAAAAAATTCCTTCATTTTCAACCAATCATTTTTCAAAAAAATATTATTCTATTCATTTTCATTTCTACAAAATGGGGGCGAAACGAGGGCTTAGATTGTTTGGTTAAAGCTTTTAAGTGTTTTGAAGTTGTAAGTTATATAGAATTTGTGGATAATAAGCGAATATTAGATTGTGAATTTGTGAATATAAATTGCATTTGCTCAACTTTAAAAAAAATATAATAATAATAATAAAGTAAACTTAGCACCAAACATGCACTTAAGGTGTCACGCAACAATTACATGGAAGATTGATTGCTAATTAAATAATTTTCATCGATTTGGCTAGTGACATGTGATAGCTACGAAATTTGAAATTAAGCCCTTGTTTGAACCCTATTTTGTAGGGGAAAATGTATTTTTAAATAATGTATTGATAAAAAATGTATGGTTAAAAAATACGAAAAAATTTTATATTTACGTGTAATATTATTTTATTAAAAAAAATATGTTATTGAAATTATATCAAAATACTGTAGAATAATGTATTTTTCCTAAAGAATGAGGCTCAAACAAGGGGCTAAATTGAAGGGGGCTATATATTTATTTTATCTCAATTTAAGGGAAATAAATAAATATATATATATATATATACACACATACACAAACACTAATTCTACACAAATTTAAAAACAAAAAGTTATTTATAGTGATTATCACTTTTTCTTTTTCTTTTTTTAAGCCCAATAGCTTTAAAAAAGTTGCATTAGTACTTTTTCTATATCCTTTAAGCACCAAACATGTACTAAGTCCTTATTTTAGCCTCATTTTTTTACATTATTACACATTCGTTTTTCACTTATTTTCAATCACATATTATTTATTAAAATAATATTATACTTAAATTTAAAAAAAAAAAATTTTAATGACACATTCTTTATTAATAACTATATATTACTTCAAATTAATTGGGCTCAAACATGACATAAATGTACTCATGAATGAATTTATTAAAATAAATACTTTTTTATTCATCAAATTGAAAATAATTACTCATGAGTCCATACTCATCAGTCTTCTTTAAATAAATAGCTTTTTTTCTTTTTTTTTTTAATTGATAAATATTTCCATTAACCTTGTCTTGAAGAAAAAGCCACCCCCACCTCACCCCTCAACCCTCGCTGCCCTTCTCTCATATCTACTGCTGAAATAGTGTACCGTGCAGATACATACGAATTACAGTATCTATATCCCGTAGCACAAAATGTTCAGGAACCAGTATGATACGGACGTAACGACATGGTCACCGGCGGGGCGGCTGTTCCAGGTGGAGTACGCCATGGAGGCAGTGAAGCAGGGTTCGGCGGCGATAGGTCTGAGATCGAAGAGCCATGTAGTTTTGGCTTGTGTGAATAAGTCCAACTCCGAGCTCTCATCCCATCAGAAGAAAATTTTTAAGGTTGACGATCACATCGGCGTCGCCATTTCCGGCCTTACCGCTGATGGACGTGTACTGTCACGCTATATGCGTAATGAGTGTATTAATTACTTCTATTCGTACGAGTCGCAGCTTCCCGTTGGTCGTCTCGTCGTTCAGCTCGCCGATAAGGCCCAGGTCATCGATTAACCCCAATTTCCTTTTTGTTTTGTTTAAATTTTTTTTTTAATTGTTTTAGTGTATTGGAGAGTATATATTGTGTCTGGATCATGGGAATTGAGGGATTGGCTTTTAGATTAAATTTTATACGTTTTAGTTTTTACAAAGCAATTTTCTTGCTTTTTCGTAAAACCCCTAATTCTCATTTTCTTTTTTGGAGAACTCTAATTCTCATTTTCCATTTTCTGGATCATGGGAATTGTGCATTTGAGAGATTGGGAGGTTGGGGCTTTAGATTGAGAGCTAATGGTGTGGGAATTTTTCAATTGAATGTTATTAAAATATCAAAGAATTGAATTTTATATTTCTTCGAAAGTAGTTTTCTTGTTCCTTAGTAAAAATTGGATTTCTCTTCAAACTTCGATTCCTGTTCTGCATAATTCTATGTAGTTGTGCAATTCTATCATTTTTGTGCAAGGTGAAATAAGCATTTTTTTCATTTGTGAAGTCTGAAGGTAGAGCGTAATATTATAAATTTGGAGTTAATATTAAGGGATAATGGAGAGTTTGCAATTTGAAACCTGAAAAGCTTATGAAAAGTTTGGCTTCAATTGGATCCATAGTAAATTAAATAGGAATAGCAGATTTGAAAAATTAAAGTGAATAAAGAGAAGTTAATGATCAAGACTTGATTTACATGCTCGTTCTTGGTGAAACTTAAGTTAAAGTCAAGTGATAAGAGGGAATGAGTGTTGAAAAAGGAGATGCTACATAGTACTTCGAAGTGTATATATATATATGGTCATATTGAATCCTAGGTGAAAGTTTTGCATCCCAAGTTACTCCAAGTTTATTAGAATTTTCTTCTTCTGAGTAATATAATATGGTTATTATGTTGGTATTTAGATTGAAATGTCTGTGTTTGATCGG